AGCCAGGTGGGCAGTGCAGGAGGTGATTGATCAGGGACACTGGCCAGGAGTGTGGTGGGAGCATCGGGATTGGCAGAAGGGATGGGGGGTGATTCTAAGGTCCAGGGGCTGGCGGACACAGTGGTCTACAAGTGTGCTCAGGAAGATGAGGGCCATTTAAATAGCCCATGCCTCGGTTTCCCCAGCTGTACAGTGGGGTAACAGTGGTCTGCCTGGGAGCGCTGCTGTGAGGTGAGGATTCCAGTGGAAGTTCGCACATGGCCTGCAGCCCAGTGCCTGCCGTGGTAGGAGCGGTGGGAGGGGCCGTCATAATGGCTTCTGTTAGGGGTGTGGCTGCCTGTCCGTGGCACAGACTCGGGTGACAGCAGAGACCCCGCCTTGTGGGCTGTTATGGGGACTAGGTGAGAACACAGGTATAGAGTGGCGGTACTATTTACTATTATTCTGCAGAAGTGGGATGGGGGGACCTCAGTGCGTTGGTGGCCAATAGAAATGAGGGTGGGTTTCCATCCAGGGTGGACTATCAACCCCTGCTCGGGGTTTCCCAGCCTGCCAGGGTGTGTGTCACTGATGGTATGGGGGCATCACTGGGTGGTGACCCTCAGCTATGCTCCCCTGGCTGAGGCTCTTGGGGCTGGGAGTGGGGCAAGCTGCCTAATGTCTTGGTTTCTCCTCTGCGTCCCACATGTGGCCCCTGAGCCTGTGCCAGCAGCATTCTCCGGCAGCACAGGGACAGCTTCCTGCCCCTAGTCCCTGCAAGCAGCAGGGTCTCACTTCCGTGTGGCTATCAGAAGGTCTGGAAAAGAAGGGGGGGAGGGTTCACCGTGGGATTCGGGCTCAGAGGTGGAGTTGGAACAGAAGACCTGGCCTCAGCCCCGTATGACCTCACCAGCCAGAGAGGGTAAGACAGCTGCCTCCGCCCTCAGACTCAATTAAATGAGATAATGTTTGTAAAAGTCCTTTGATAAGCTAAGAAGTGCTGCCCAAGCAGTTAGGTGTTGTCACTTCTACCTGGGGGGCTGGGAGAGGTTCATGGGTCAAAAGCCTCTGCACCCAGAACCTGCTCCAGCACCCCAACTCCTGAAAGTCACCACCCTGGCCCAGTCTCTTGCCATGTTGCCTTGGTGGTGCCAGGGTGGCAGGAGGCTGCAGAATGAGAGGGCTAAGCATGCAGGACCCTGGCTGGGGTTGCAACCCCACCACTCCCTAACTATGGGACCTTGGACAGGTGACTTAAGCTCTCTGAGCCCCAGTTTCCCCTCCTATCAAGTAGAGATCTGTCACCTCTGGGTTCTTGGCTCAGATACAGAGACCAAGTGAGTGATGGTGGCAGATCTCGGCCAGGAATAAAAGAAGCTACCAGTGGACCATTGGTTGTGTGCCAGGCACTGTACATTCATCATCTCGTGTCATCTTTCCTGGCTCCCTCTGTGATGGGGCGGCACCCCATTTCACAGCAGAGCAAACAGGCTTGGCAGTGGGAATTTGCTGGATGTCTCCCAGCAGGTAGGTGGCCACACCAGGTTTGAGCCCTGTCTCTGGCCCCCAGACCTCCTCATTCCTCAGCAAGAGAACCCTGCACTGGCCCACAGTGAGGCGGGGGACGGTGAGCAGGTGGCTTGGCCAGTCCACTTGGTGTGGGCAGCCCGATGGACCAATGTCCAAGTGGCCTGAAGCCCTGGCAGCCATTGAGGCTGGGGCCAGGCTCTTCCCGGGGAAGCAGGGAGCCCCAGGGCAGAGTTCTGGGAAATCAGGTTTATTAGCTCCTTAATGACTGTTTACAAGCTGAAAAGTGTTTGTCTGGCATGTTCCCTCCCTGCTGAGGGGCTCCGTGCAGACGGGAGCACAACTGGGCCTCCAGAAGTGAGCATTCTGTCCTGCGTGTGTCGAGATGAGGGGCCCAGCGGAGCCATCAGCTCCATGGAGCTCTGGGCGCTCACACCTGGGCAGTCTAGGGCTCATTTCTGGCTGGGTGACACTGGACAAGGTGCTTACCTGTCTGTAAAATAGGGTGAGACTTTGTCCCTCAGCTGAGCATACTTGTGGGGTGAGCCCTAGCTAATGGTGACAAAGCCACCTACATCTCAGACCCCTGGGGGGCTACTTAGCATCTTATATGTGAACAAACTGAGGCTCAGAGACTCAAGTGGCTTGCCCAAAGTCACACAGTGGTTAGAGCCGGGCCTGTGACCCTGGCTCCCCCAGCTGGGCCATATTGTCACTCTCTGGAGTGGGTGGAAATGGGGTGGACTCTCACCTTGCAAACACAAGGCAGCCCCGTGTGTGTCCTTGGAGTGGTCACATCTGGAAACAGCCTAGTCCTACCTTGGTGTCAAGGAGCCCCCAACAGAATTGAAGCGGGCCTCCCCTGCTCCCGCAGCCCAGGCTGCACCCCATCTCACCCCGGCCATGAGCACGTGTTTTACCCATGCTGCTTCTGAGGACCAGTGGAAACCCAACTCCCAGTACCCCAAGATCCCGGGAGGAGCAACTCTTTTTTTTTTTTTTTTTTTTTTAAAAAGATGACCGGTAAGGGGATCTCAACCCTTGGCTTGGTGTTGTCAGCACCACGCTCAGCCAGTGAGCAAACCGGCCATCCCTATATAGGATCCGAACCCGTGGCCTTGGTGTTATCAGCACCGCACTCTCCCGAGTGAGCCACGGGCCGGCCCCCTGAG